CAAACATTTTATCATTTGTGTCTTCTTCTTTACAATAAAATATACGCCATATTTTATTAGGAACTCATACATGCATTATACACGGTGTGTCCGAACTTTATATTTACATCATACAACATACAGCGGCATCTATTGAAAATTTGCAACATTAAAAAGATCCATTCATTCTCTTTCATGTAAGTCGGATGACAGATGTAAAAGTGACAGCCATTTCAATAAAACCAAAAGTGTGCTAATGGTTCAAAAATAAAATGGAACAAAGAGCAAATATAAAATTTTGTGTGAAACTTGAATAAAAAATTAATGAAAAAAGTTTATTGTGATGATTGTATGAGTCGTACGCAAGTTTATACGTGGTTTACACGGTTTAAAAATGGTCGTGAGGATATAAATGACGACCCTGGAACAGAACGTCCAGAAACTAGTAATCGTGCTGAACTGGTGGAAAAAGTCCGATGAGTAAAAATACTATTTGGGGAATTTTAACTGAAGATTTAGGGAAAAGAAAGGTCTGTGCGCGATTTGTTCCACATGAATTAAATGACGACCAAAAAATCGCTCGAATTTTTAATGAAAAAAGGGACTTCTCTCATCGACCATCCTCCGTATTCGCCTGATCTATCACCATGTGAATATTTTCTATTTCCAAAACTGAAAACCAAGATGAAGAGAGCATTTTATGATGATATCCCAGCCATTCAAGCAGCCGTAACCGAGGTACTGAAGAACATTTCTATAAATGACAAATCTATGCTTGCGCCGGTTGATCGTCCCAAATGTTGTGTTGAGTCAAATGGAACCTATTTTGAATAATAAATAATTTTCAAAGATAATATAATGTGTATTTTATTTTAATCCAAAAAGTTCGGTTATTTTTGGGACATACCCTGTACATGTCACTGCAGTTTTTAAAAAAAAATGTTTTTTATTGGCTACAATTATTTTTTGAACCTTCTAGAATAAAGGTCTTATATGTGTCCAATATCGATTTCATTTAAGTTTCGAACCCTTTTACCGAGCGTACCGGGTCGGTCCAATATATGCCGTTTTTTGGTCGATAGATCAGTTTTTTTCTCAAGTTCTTCCTAATTTCACTAAAATCAATATTTTTTTAAATCGTACGTCATTCTCTAGTTATTCTCATGTAGAAAAACCAAACAATTTTTTTTTTTTGTGCAGATTCTATTATGCACCTTTTATGCTGCGTTGCGCGGAACTCCAAGGAGAAAAATCACATTAAAATTACTGGCGCAGACACCGGTTACGCGATTTTAGCCGATTTCATAACATTGTGCCTTTCGTTTCTTCTTTTGGCTGCTTAGCGCCAATAGTAGATACCAAAAATAAACAGGTACCTCTCTACCTGGTCGTTCTACCGGAGTGGAAACCTTCCTCTTCTTCTACTTCCAACGGCGGGTAATCTTATCCATCCGGGCCATAAGACCTAGCCTGCGTATCTGCTATTTCTTGATAAGCTGAACTATGTCAATGTCGCCGTATATCTCATACAGCTCATCATACCATCGGCTGCGGTATTCGTCGTTATCAACTCGTAGAGAAGCTACTAATGCTGACTCATCCATCACGGGTCTTTTACAAGACTTGACGCATGGTGAATGTCTGGTGAATGGTTGACTTACCAGGTCTAAAGCCACACTGATCCAATTAGTTTTGCCTTTCACACAATTGTCTCGTTATGATTCTTCCACAAAAAATAAATCTTGAAAACATGTTTTTTTGGCGCTTACAGTGGCCCCCCTTTAATGGCATAACTTCAAAATTTCAGCCCAAAAAAATGTATCATTAAACTCATAAAATGGGACAGTTAACGAATATTTAACAATATTGCATCTTTGTTTTAATTTTGCAGAATATATTAATAAAAATCACACAGTTTTTTCAATTTTTTGTCCGTAGTAACCCACTGCACACTTTTTTATCGCTTCGAATTTTTAGACAAGATTTTTTTTTTACAAAATACATAGGTATTATCTATTTCCCAGAAGCTTTCGCGAAAGCATGTTTGATAGATTTCCACGTTTTTGGTGAGGTTTATAGAATACAAGGCTACCAAGGTTTATAAAAGATAATGTTACGACAACTGTTGACGTCACCGAACCAACTTCGTCATATATGCAGTTAATTTAAGTTAACATTTATTTATATAAAAAAGTCTAAGGTAATCGCTTATTCCAAATGGGTTTTGATAGAGTTTCCAAAAAATCAAAAGTTTTTGGCCATTTATCATTTTGAAAATGCCTTGGTTTTACCAACTCTCCCCCGCTTAAGTGGCTTACCCAACTATACTCAGAGTCCTGAGAACTCTCTACCACTTCTGTTCTTAATTTTTTACAGTCAGTCGTCAGACTTGGAACTATGGGGTTCCGAAACATAGCGCCTAGGAATCGGGTGTATCGTCAGGCTCAACAATTGCGATGATATTTGAATTCTTGTTGTTCAGGATGGTCGTGAAGACCACCTTTTCTTCTTATTGTGCCAAAAAAATTTCCACTACGTCTTGGTTTAGTCTATACGTCAATAAATATTCGATTCCGAATTTGACTTTTATATCATTGCAAAGTAATTGAACTGTATTATTTCATTGAATAATACCTGCAGCACAAAATAGTTATTAAAATATGATATTATTTCCAAAGTAACGAAAAACGATCAAACCTTACTGAAATGGTAACAGTGATTTTCTACCAAATACTCTTAATTCCAACATTAATTTTGATATTTCATTTAAAATATTTGTTTGCTCTTCCGAAGCGAAAACATTTGCATGTCGGCCGGTTCTATAATCTGAAGCAGGGACTTCTTGCAGTCATTATGTCGAACCAATCATTTGTCTATTAAAAATATAAAATTAAAATTTTATTTCATCTCATTTCTTAGTATTTCTTCACCAATTTAAATAGTTGATCGCACTACAACCAATTTTTATCTTGAAGATGTCCCAAGCTAGTTTTTGCTTGTGCATGTGTGTGTATGTGAAAACAATTTTACAGCTTGTTTAACCTTTTGTCTTTAACTACTACAAATGAGTCAGTCATTAATACATACTAATATTAGAATCAAATTAATTAAACAGACTACGATTGAAGGTGAAAATCAACAAAATACGTATAGTATCTTACCATGGCTTGTACATGTCGACTTGCAGTACTTAAAGAAGACGTCTATTATTATCCGTCAAATCGCATACAAGACCGAAAATGTAAAATCCACACTTTTTCACGGTATATATAATATATGATACGTTTTGATATCGTACATGCGTAACTATAAAATATGTGTTGTTTTCACATAGGAGCTAACCCTATTCAAAATATGGTTAAATATTAAAATATTAAAATTGAATACATACATAGTCGAATACAAATTTATTGAACGTGCAACATCCCCACCCCTTCAATTTTTTTCTTGGAGGATTTTGAAGTCTAACTATCTGTTCAATGGTAAATATAGTACTTAAAGAATCTCTTAAATTTTTATTAGCAAGACGAAGACCGTCAACTTCCCGCTGTAGAATAACATTTTCTTCCATTAGCTTAGTGCTACTCTTCTTTAAATAAGTGTTTTCTTCTCTTATAATCTTGCTAAAATTTGAATGTAAGACAAAATGTTTGGTAAAAGAGGTAAAGGTTTAAGTCTTAAGTTTTATAAATATCTTCCTTTAGTATCCGGATTTCATGTTCGAAATAACAGGATATATAATTTCATATGGACACTTTGAATGTGATCCACTTTCACTGATTATAGGGCTTATCTGTTCCTTCTTAGAAAATACGAGTTTCGTATATGAGAAATAAATTGATTTATTGAAAATCTTGATCCTTTCCGGAAACCCTGGTTGATGTTAACACTAAATACTACTATAACTTATAGTTAAAAGTTGATAACTTTAATTAACTTTAATTTACTAAAATTAAAATTTTCTTTTTTTGGGCACTCTCGCCTAACTTAAATTGAATGTCTTCTTAAAAATCATCTTTCTCAAAATGTTTTGAACAAATTCTTGCATCCAGACCGACCTCCGTTCTACAGAATAAAGTCCATAGTTTACATTGGTTTTCGTTTCTTGGAAATTTTAAATATTGTGTACTTGAATTTAAGGGTATACAAGAAACACATTTAGCTACATATATATTAACATTTCAATACTAATTCGCACAAATAGACGGAAACAAAGTTATTATTTTCCTTAAATCTCAGCCAAATACATATGTACATATGCTACACGATTTTTTTTTCTTCAAATTTTACATCAGTACCACCCGCTGCACACTTCATGCCGCTTCGATTTATTTACATACATATTCTACTCGTTACATACGTGTATGACATCAAAACATCTGTAAAATAAAAATAATGATTTTTTTAGCAATATGAGCTGCTGTCAGATAAAATTATACAAACGAATTTTAAATCCTTTGGTAAAACTCAAATTTTAACAAACTTTGTCATCAAACATACGATTTTCATGTTGTCGTTACCTTGTGTTCTACAAATCATGCGTTTTTTGAAATTATTTACTCATTAATAATAATATTAGATCATGATATCATAATATTAGATTTTCATAATCTAAAAATATTTGGATAGTGAAATACATTTGTTCCCCATAAAACTATTCAGAAGTCTTTAATTGTAATTGTTATTTTAAAAACATAAGCTATATTTCCAAGAAGTCCGTTTATGAGCTTTTTTTGAAATTTTGCAATCTACCTTCATGTGACCTCGATACCTTTTTCTCCATCATCCTATAATTTCCTTAATTTTCCCTGAAACTTCTTCAGATTATTTGCGGATATAGCGTAACTTAATACTCATATTTGCTCCTGGAGTCTGAATGTTAGCATATTTTGCACAATTTCTTTCATTTTACAACTGTCAATAAAATGGCGCCACTTAATAGGTTTGAATTCTTGTTAAAGAAACTGCACTGCGATATCATCACAGTATGCCATTCCTTAATTTTCAAATAAAAATTTTAATTTCTCACCTCGTGTTCTGTATATTCTAGTACTTACTGTTAATGCCAATAACTTTACTTTCAATTTCGAGGCTAACAGTTCTGGTCCTCGTTTTAACTTGGCGTGGAGATTTTACTCTCCCAACGGTAGTCTGCTTCTAAGAGCATGCGAATTACGTTTGAAAAGTAAATAAGACGAAAGAAATTTTCGCTGTGTAGTGCAAAACAGTCTAAGGTTTCATGTACTAATATACAATATTTATCGTTTAAAGTAGTATGTAGCAGAAAACGAAAGAAAGTGTCAAAGAAAACCACGTTGCCTTGGGAAAGGAAAGAAAGTGGTCACTGGAAAGGTCTCAAATATGGCAACGAAGCTTATCGACTACTACGAGCAAGGTTTAAACGGTTGGGGTAAGTGGAAAGATTCAGAAATGTCTTAATAAAAAAAATAAAAACTCTTTTTGGGTGGAGATTCGGGTTGAGTTCCTGGTGGGAAATTGGAGATAGTGCGGGGAGACCATTCCGGTGCTCCTTGGAAATCTTGGCATTCCTGGTGCTGGCAAACATCCATGCAATATGGCATGCTGTCGAATATCGTCCAAACACCCTGAGTTTAGCATCTAACAGATACTTTAAGTTTATTACTACCTGAGAATCGCACTTATGCATGTAAGAAAGCACATACATATGTACACACGATGTCCGTGTACATATATGTATAAGTACATGTAATGGCAAGAAGCAAAAAGCTCATACTTAAAGTGTGCTGGGGAGATTAGGAGTAGGATGGTGCATGCTTACATACCAAATATCCCTGGAAAACCGCCATCGCGTAGCTCTTTATATCATAGATGTAAGCAGTATTAGAGGGGTATACCCCGGCGCCCTTCTGAAAGCGGTGTACTTTAAGGACCTGTCATTTAGCCCAAGGACCAAAGTCTGGTTTCCCTTAAAGTCGAAATGATTAAAAATTTCAATCCAGAACTGTCTGTTACCGACCGGAAAGTAGTAAAGGTAGAGACTAATACCAATGCTACGCGGCAAGCAGTGCTAACGATTGATAAGGAATCACTCCCAGTACCGGAAATAAAGTGAAGAACACTAAATATTGACTTTGACACTTTCACGGTTGTGGTCTGCAGCAATAACTTCAAGGCGGCGAAGAATCTGAATCGGAGGTCATTGGACGATCTATCGATGGCTATGCAAAATGCGCGTTCAGACGCTAAACTGCGGAGGAAGGAGGAACTAATGTCTTATGGCGCAGCGAACTACTCTGAAGGAGTCACGCTTTAAAAGTCAATATTGAACGTGAAAAAAAAATTGGGTTCATCGAATTCGTTCCTGCAAAAGAAGTCGTGGAGCCCATTTGAATGATGTTAAATTCAGAACGTAATTGTAACGATTATACTTCACTTTAAATAAAAAAACAATTAGTGTTTTTTTTTCTAAGAATTCATATCACTCTTATTGGAAAATCCTATATTTATGAAAATCTTTTCTGTGAATAAAGAAAACAAATTCGAGGGTATGAAATGTTACAATTAAACGCAGTAGATGTGCGATGTAACTATTAACCTACTTATGACCTATTTTATAGGGCTACCTTCACGACTTTCGCTGTTTCCGGCGATCCTATTAAAAAAATTATATTTCAAGTCAATTTCTGTCACTTATGCCATGAAATTATACCATAAGCCGAGTTTGCAGCCAATTCGAAGACCATCGAAATCAAACGAAAATACAACTCGTAATTTTCATGGAAAAATCCAAATTTTTTTTAGCAGCACTTTAAAAAAAGCATGCTTTTGGTCTGTATGATACGAATGATGAAAATGAGAACAATGCATATAGTAGCAGGAGAGCTTATACGGGAGCATTTCGAATGAAATGTTTCTAATTGTGGTACGCAAGTACAATAATACAAAATTAACTTAAAATGTTTGTGATTTCTTTATTAAAAACAAAATTAAGTAAAATTTCGCTTCCTGAAATAAAAATTTTGCATCAATAATTTGATTTATTTATGGTCAGTACAAACTTGCTTTCGTTGGCGGCCGCGGTAATTAAATTAATTGCTCTAATTGCCGTCGCCCCTCTACAGAATAGACAAACCCTCCAAGTATGTTTCTGACAGGAAATAATAGCTTCTCGTACGAAGCCATCAGTTGCTCGCAGTTTGCTTAGTATAAACTTTAGATCCATCCATTTGGTGGATCAAGATGTACACCGCAAATTAGAAGAGAACCTCAGCGGAAAATCGCTACAGCAGTTACAAAGCGTCATTTATATATGAGTATGAAAGAAATTTTTAAAGGTAGACTTAGCAATTTTCGATAGTTTTTCTTTCTAAAACCGAAACTTTAAATTTTCATTGAAAAAATGTTATTTTTAAAGCAACTTACTTCGCTTTCCGTTGAATATTATTTGGTTAGAAATATTTTGGAATATGAAACGAAGTTTTAGAAGCCTGCTAAAAGAAATGCCAATGAGCCGAGCCGATTCATTTTATTTTTACCATGCTTTCGAAATTTTTTTTTTTTTTAACAATTCGGTTCCATTTCTATAAATTTTAGAAGAATTTCTAAAAAAAACTCCTTCGCGCAGTTGCCTCCTACTGACCTGACCGACATCTAAGATTATATAAAATTAAGTTAATCGTACTAATTGGGGTATTTCTGGCATAAAATAAAAAAACTCCTCATAAAAGCCATCAACCGCTCGTTTCTTGTAAGCAGTCTTTTTTTCAAGTCCCATTCGTTGCAACGAAAATAAAAGTATTCTCCAAACAGAAAACAGCAATGAATGGAAATATAGCACAAGTTGCTCGAATTTTTTCCTCAATAGCTAGCTCCTCAAAAAGAGGGTTTCAGATCTCATCACCATACTCTGCCAAAGCTTTTCACTACTTAGAATTGATTTTTTTAACCATTTCTCTCAGTTGAAGAAGACAAGTTTCTCACACACCTGAAATTTTGCTCAACCGGAAAGAGGACTGGTTGAACGGTTCAGCAAGATACAGGCGCGAATGAAAAATGTCGACGTCAATAAGGAACACCAATACACTCACACGCGTATTTAATTTAAAAATATTTAAATATTTACTATATTTCAAATCTCAGACTCTTTGATATCTATTAGATATTTAAATTAATATTTTCGATCACCACCACACGAGTCAACGATTCTACGCCAACTGATGAGCACATTTGCGGTAGCGACTAAGACCATTGGCCAACGCACGGAAAGTAACGCATGCTCATCGGTCTACCGAGTTAGTGAAAATTGAAATTAGAATTAGATTTAACAAATAGAACAGTAGATGACCCACCCACCTATGTATGTGAGTAAACACATAAAAAAGCGGTGATGGACAGCAATAAAAACGAGCGCATTATAATACCTGAAAAAAATACAATGTGTCGCAAACCAAGCGTTAAAGGTGAGGCTGAAAGTTGTTAGCTAGCTTGTTATAAGGACAGACATTCGCAAAATATTTAGCAACGGCGCATGCTTTGTGGCAACAACGAACAAGCCTGCTAGAGTTTTCCACACATTATTCTCTTGATGAATGCATGTATATTGTGTATACAAATACATCCAAACATATGTAAATATATTGTATGTACCAGTATATCTACAATTAAAAAGACTGAATGGTGGCTTCCAAAGAAAGTTGACGTCATTACTTGCAACCGGCGCTAGTATCAAAATGTATGTACATAGATGGGTGTGCGCACATTTTAAAAGGTCATCTAAACTAAATATTGTACTTAGTGCCAAGCAGCGAGCGAAACCAGCTCATTAACACACGTGGATTAGGCTTCCCTCCAGGATACTCATTTAAGTTATACACATACATATTTACATGTATAACAGCTATTTTCTATTGCATATGCTTGTACTTGTGCGTATACATACATAAGAATGTACGACTTTTCGCCAACTATCCCCTAACTTGCCATACACTTTCACATAGCCATCAAACAGACATAATGAACATTTAAATGTTATTAGAGTCATAACACACCTTGTTAAGACCAATCCCTAAAAAATGCTATCATAATATATCTACACGCTACGATATGGCTAACGGATATGTTATTGGCACACCTTGAAGCGCACACCGCTCCTGTCACACTTGCACGCACGTCCTTACACAGCGTTCCACACCCTCGTTGAGGACCTGTATATTTGTACATATATATAAGTATGTCTTTTGCAATATATCTGACTCGTCCGATGCGTAAACCCTAGTCACCATTAAGATATTTGATTTTCTATTATTTTTAAGCCTAATAGAGGGCATTGATGGGACATGAGAAAGTGTATACTCAAAGATGACCTACAAAGCCTTAAATGTCGCGAGTTAGTTTCTTGAGCGTTGAAAATTTGGTAGTTGGAAATTGTTTGATTAGCAAATAGCCTCCAAAGTACCCGTAAAATTCTTTTGATTCAATGTTAAATGCATTCTGTTCTTCTATGATGCAATAGTTGTTATCATTTCATTTTATTAAAAGACTTGATTTTTCAATTTTCGAATCCGATTTTCTTTATATATATACGTAACAACTAAGCGGAGTTTACCATAAAAATTTACGCTTTGCAATTCAGCAAATACTTGCAAAACAGACACACCCCAATGTGCAAGTGTTATATATGTATGTATGTATGTACATATATACATATGTTGAAAGGTATGTATGGATACATATGAATTTGATTCTTACCTTTGAATGACAACACTCTTTCCTTTATTAATCTATTACGTATGCCAAAGGTTTTAAAATGCGTGCGTGTAAATTTAACTGGCTCCAGCCTTAAATATTGCTTAAAAAGTGCATTACTCATAGTATTTCATACGTTTTATTTAGATACACTAGTATATTATTTTACAGATGTTTTGATAGAGTCTAATTTGTTTTATTAGTGTCTTATAACCTCTGAAAGCATTAATTTCTTAAATTTATTTATAACTTCGTACAAAATTTTATATTCCCAGAAACTCTAATATGGGATATGCAAATAAGGTAAAAATTTAACATTTTTCATGTATTTATACAATTTAATAACAATATAAATACATCGGCTTCCGCAAATTTTATTTTTATGATTCAATAATTTTCAGAGTCTAAGAAAAAACCGCTTTTAAAATCACGAAGAAAATTAAATGAGTTAGATTTCGAATGACGTATCAAACAGCACTAAAGAAAATAATAATTTTTCTTTTCGTCTATTTGTGCGAATTAGTATTCAAGCTAATTGTGTTTCTTATAGGTTAAATACACATTTTTGAAGATTTCAAAGATGGATTTTAATTTGTGGAACGGAGGTCGGTCTGAATTCAAAGATTTGTTCCGAACATGTTAAGGCAGACGATTTTGAAGAAGACATTCTACTTTCACGGAATTCCAAAGAGTGTTGTTGAAAAAGGAAATGTTGGACCAGACGATACACCCAATTGTCACTTACTGGTGTGTGTGAGATTCAGTCAGCTATTTACAAATACTTAAGACTTAATTTTACCCAGTCGCGAATTTTGAAAACTTGTAGTTCCAAGTCCTGAAGAAGAACCATTGATAAAGAATTAATTGACCTGGAATACGAGTGACTTGTTCCTTTGGTGAGGCACATATATATGTAAGAAGCTAAAAACAGAAGTGGTCGAGAGTTCCCAGGACTGAATATACATGGTTAACTACTTAAAATAGTAGTTCAAAAGGCTTGCAATGGAGTTTTTTAAAATCAAAAACAATTTCAATTGATGCGGAACAAATGTATTTTCATTCACAAAAATTTTAATTTATGATTTAAACTTAACACATTTAATAATCAATTCTTTGCTAATAAATACTTTGTATAATAATTACGGTTCTAAAGGTGTTTAAGAAAATTTATCGCATGACAAAAATATTTTTGGAATGATGACTTAAAACTTAGTACATTTTTCAAAAATGTTCTTGTAAAAGACTCAAAAACTCATCCGCAAACATATTCTGGATGGATATAATGAAATGACACTTTCACCGAGTTATCGTAAATTTCTACCGAAAACCAATTCAACAGATGCGGTCGAAACATCCCATTTTTATATACATAAATAGATCTTAACCCAAAAAGTATTGTTACATTCCTTGTCATATGATGATGATATACATACATACATAAATTGAATTATACAACAAAAATCAAAATTTCTCATTTATTCAACATTAACTCACAAAAAAAAAAAGGCACTGACAAAAGTGCACATACAATTTTTTGCTTAGCTATTCTATGTAATCATATTAGTTTTGACAACTAAATTAATAATTTTTTGGGCCACCATGCGGATCGATCAGTGCTTGCAAACGTGTGGGCATTGAGAAACCAAGTTTTCCAGGTCTTTTCCTGTAAAGTTTTGCCAC